TCCCACCCATACCAGGTCCTCTGCTACCCACAGGTCCATGCCAGTAATCACAAACTTAAGTCCGCCAACAAGGAAGCCCTTGGGTGGTTTTGAACTTTCTAAAAATGGACTCACGCAGGATGTGTTCTGTTGTGCCAGTTTCACTCGCTCAGTATTTTTTTCCATAAACTTGCTCATGTTCTGCTGCACAGCAGGAGTTTGTTGGTATGCATTGTTGAACGGTGTTCCTTGTGGCAACAATTAATTCCGCTATTGAACTACCCATTCAATTTTGGTGGGGATTTGGCTTATTTCCCATTTTGGATGGTGCCACCATGAGCTTTGGTCTGTATATTTATAGCCTTCTTTGGGGAGTATTTTTAGGAGTGGTATTTCTGGAAGATAAGATAGGCTTAGTAGTCAGCTAGACATGGCCTGATGTTTCCCCAAAACAGTTGGGACAGTTCATATTCCACCAGCAATCAGTGAGAGTGGCAGTTGTTTCACATCTTCAACATTTAGTACAACCAGGGTTGTTTTTAATTTAGACATGGGTGCTCAGGTAAATGGTGATGGCTCGCAGTGATTTCAATTTACATTTCCCTGTGACTAATGCTGATCATGCTTTTATATTATATAGTCTCATTTGTATATAGTCTTGGCAATGAAGTCTTAAAAATGGGGGCTGTTGGCCCTCCCTGGTTAAAGCAGATTAAAGCACAGCACTAAGAAGCTAAAGCCATTCAGCATGAGTTCCATCCCAGCCCTGGAGGTGACCCACATGGTGTGGCAGACCTCTCCTGGCCCGCCCACTGCTCCCCTCAGCAGTGTACGTTGTCAGTTGGCCTGTTCTGCTCCCCACTCTGGCTCTGGTGAAGCCTCTCGCCGCCCCTGCACCTCTGGCCTGCACCCCAGTTCTGTATGCATAACTAATTTTTTTTAAAGATTGACAAGGTACACTGCTGAGGGGAGCAGTGGGTGGGACAGGAGAGGTCTGCCGCAACGGCAACGCCATGTTGTCACCTCCGGGGCAGGCGGGAATCGAACTCATGCAGAAGTGGCCTTAGCTTCTCAGTGCTGTGCTTTAACCCGCTGCGCCACCAGGGAGGGCCAAATAAATAAATTTTTTAAAAATGGGGGCTGTCTCTTTCTCATTCATTATTACAAATTGTTTGAATCAAAAAGCTGTGATACTTAACAATTGTCTTTGGTAGCTAGAGTCATTCCTTCTGCCTCTTTTTTTAGTGGGGGATGGGGGGGCCAGGTGTGATTGTGTATACACAGGTATTGTCAAAAACTGCAAAGTGCTATTAAAGGCCTAACTATCAGGATTGAAACGGTGCAGGCAGAAGCTAGCATTTACTCCCTTCACCCACCCCTAGGCATTGGCTGTTCTAGAAGGAAAGCTTGCAGAGGAAGGGGAGGTCTACTTAGAGGACCTCCATGTCTTTCTGACTCATTCCGTTGACACACCCCACAGCACTGCCTGTGTCTTCCCTTGTCACAAATCTATGTAATTATTTACTTCTTCATCTCTTTTCTAGTCTTAAATTTCACAGGATTCTGCATTCATTTTATTGGGATAGAGGAGTGATGTAAATAGGCCTAGGACCTGGGAAGATCTCAGGGAAGCCCCCCTCAGATAGAACAAGGCCCACTGCTGAAATTTCTCAGTTTCTTGTAATTTCTTCAGAACAATCTTAGTTCTTAATGACATATGTGTGTGACTGCTTTTTTTAATTGAGTTTTACAGGTTCACTTATGGAGATCCATTGTACTGCAGGATAAATTAAATGCAGTATCTCCTCTTAGCTGATTTAGATGATGTGGTTTGGATAGTGAGATTTGGGACGTTTGAGCTGATAAAATTGCGTTGAGATTTTGGGCCTTTAATGCTAAAACTTGGAGGGACATTGGGATAGGATGAAGGTACCCTACATATGGAATGAATGTGAATCCTTGGGGGTGGAAAGTGTAGGGTAAATGAAGGTTGGTCAGATTTCTGTGCTGCAGGCTTATGTGGCTATCACCTGCACGCTTAATGCAGGAGACCCCTGGGAGCGTGGGCACGGAGCACTGCATGCCTGATGGTGAGCACCTGGAGCATGGTGTGGGCATGAGTGAACGGGCACACCTGAGCCTGGAGGCTGGGCATATAAGGGTGGCCTCAGTCAGCCAGAAGGAGGCTCCATGATGATGATCAACTGCTGTGAAACAGACCCGAGAGAATGCTGGGGAAAGCCCAGAGGAGGAAACGCAGAGATTGGCTAGGGCACTAGCCGAGGGAGCTCTCCTGCGCGCCTGTGACTATGCAGGCGTTTCTATTCAACTTTTCCCTTCACAAAGCTGCTCTCTGCCTACCTGTGTCTGTGCAGGTGTCTCTTTTTGATTTCTCCTTTTCCTAATAAACCTGTCCTCTTAAAATGTTAAAAAAAAAAAAAAAAAGACGATGCTGGGCTAACGGAGTGGGTGGAATTAAGTGACCAGAATCCTAAGTGCGGCAGGGGTGGTAGGGGAGAAGGGCGGTGGCAGGGAGAACGCCCAGCCCGACCTTTCTGGCTTTGAAAATGGAAGAGGCTCACAAACGAAGGCAGGGGGGTGGCCTCGAGAAACCGAGGAAGAACAGGAAAGTATTTCTTCCCCAGAGCCGCCTGGACGCTCAGATAATAAGTCGGTGCTGTTTTAAGCCATGAAGTTTGTGATAATTTGTTAGAGTGGCCACAGGAAGTGAATGCTAGTCCTGGCCTCGATGCATGCTGGCGGGGATCTTCAAGTTGTTTCATCTTTGTTGTACTTCATAGTCATTATTAAAATAAGAACTGCCGCCAGGATAAGTGACAAGCAGAAGCACTCAGTACTGCCGCCAGGATAAGTGACAAGCAGAAGCACTCAGTACAGACGCATCCAATAAATGCGAATGTTCCAGGGTGGGGAAGCACAGGGAAGGAGAGCAGAGCTAATGCCGTCCTCTGGCCCACCCTCCTTTTCTTTGATGTTGCCTGGATAAAGGGCTCCCTCCGTGAGCTCCCCAAGCACACCTTATCTACAGCACTGCTCCTTATCTGCCATGGAGGAACTATGGCCTTCCCACCCCAAAGGAATACCCCCTTTAAAATACAAAGGCGCTTTAGAAAACTGGGAGGTGACAACACAGCTAGAGTCTCACTCTGCAAACAGGCTTTCAGAGATGAAAGGCCAGCTCAGACATCAGAATCTGCATGGTATTTACATGATGGCCACCATATTGGCCACTGGAAGAGCAAAGAGGTGGTGCCCGGAGGTGAGGCCAGTCCTCTCACAGGGAAACGCCTGGGTGCCCCATCTTCCCACTGCAACGCACTGGAGACAGACATCCCTCAAACACTTCAGACTTAGTTGTGTTACGAGCTTTTATTTAAAAAGCACATTTAATACAAGTATAGTTTCGCAGATACAAGTTTTCACTTTGTATTCTACAAAAGTCTTTGAATATTATTCTCTTTACAAAATGGAACCTTACAAAAATACTGACAATTGAATGCTTTTATACAGTTTTCTCTAGTTGCAGTTATTCCTTTCATTGTAAAACAATGTCTACCACAGAACTACGATATTTTAGTTGATATTAAAAAAATTAACTTGGTGCTTTTTTAAGCAGCTAATGTAAATAACACAGGTCGAGACACAGTTTATAATCATAGTGGATATAGCTAAAATTGTTTCAGAAATAATATTTTACATAGTTAACTTTTAATGTTTTATACATTATTTATATAATATTTATATATAAAAATCATAGCTTGCTATAAATTGAAATGAAAGGACGGTTTCTGTAGCAAGGATGTGCATGTGGTTGATCCATGTGGTTATACTTAGCCCTTACATTAGCATCCGAGATCTGAAAGCATGTCTCCCTTCCTCCTTTCCTCAAAGGCTCAGTAGAAGGGGCCCCAGTCTACTGCCTAGAGTAGGACCTTGCTCGAAAGGACACTTATGGACAGAGGATGAGGTGAGGAAAACTCCTGACAGAGATTGAACCCACGTGTTCTGCCCAGCAGAACCTCCCAAGAACTGCCCTAGAGATCAACCCCAAGACATTAGTGCTTTACCAGCTCAGCAAGAGCGACTCCAACAGCCACCCTTGTCTGCTCCACTATCTAGAAGGGCAGCTTCTCAGACATGAGATCATCTGCTACTCTGGCTCATTCTGACCTGAAGTAGCCAAAAGTTTGGTTTATTTTTCATTCTCGCCCGTTCACTCCCCCTCTCTCATACGGCGGGCTGCTTCCCATGGGTGGAGAACAGCCCACACCTCTGCTCTGTCTCCAGGCCCCCGAAAGGAAATCCTGGTGGCACACAGCAAGGACTTCAAGGAAGGAAGCAGCGACCGAGCTAACCGATACAAAGAGCTTGCGAGCGCCCAGTGATAGATGCACAGGATTCAGCGTCCCCAGCTGACGTGTCAGCATCACAGGGTGATGCGTCCAAAGAAGACACCGGAGGGTCTGGCACCCTGAGGTCTCCTGAAATTGTGCTATTTGTGAAATTCACTCATCCACAAAGAGTCTCCTAGCCACTAATGTGAGGGACTGCGGTGTTGACCTAAGGGTTAGGGATGTGAGTGAAGGATAAGGCCTCAGGACAGGGAATTTGATTCAGGGTTGATCCATGGACGGAGCCAACTTGATCTTTGTTCCATTTAAAAAAGACAAACAAAACTTCCCGAACCAAAGTCAGTAGAGCATAGAGTGGTGTAGGCTGAGAGACAACGAGGGGAGAACCCCATGGCTGTTTTCTTGACTCAGTGCTATTTCTGGTTTTGTGTGCTACAATGTGAATCTGAACTTTACTCACAAGGTGACCAGCAGACTCAAATCATTTTAGTGTTTGTTCCAGAACAAGCCGTGTTCACTAGAACATGAACACTTAAACCAATTGCACATCCAGGACTCCAGCACTTGGTGTTAGTTTGTTGTCGTTTCCACTGAGGTGAACACTACCTATTTTGGAAGGCCACAAAGTAAGACTTTTGTTTTCCTTTTAAATCAGTCGGGCAAAAAGTTTTCCCCTACATTCTACTGTCTGATGAGATTGGAGAGCAGCAAGAAGTTGCTGTCAGCAGTCATTTACAAGAACACTTGAAGGTGGGTGGCACCTACACCATGTTGTGGTGATTGTTCCTGTCAATAATGTCCACTTGAGAAAGAATTTCCTTTCGGATGGTAGGTGGAGGCAGGGAGAGCGACATCTTACTCTTGAAGAGGTCGGACACGAAGAAAACCTAGAAATACAAATCAGAGATCCAAGTCAGTAACTGATATCCGGGCATAGGCCAAGGCCAAGGTCAGGTCATAGGAGCCCAGCCTTTAGGAAAAAGGGGCCAGCAGCCATAGAATTTTGAATAGGAAAGGACCATGAGGCCAACTCTCATTGCTCATTTCAGGAAACAGGCCCAGAGAAGGATAGTGACTGCCACAGCCTGCACAGCAGGAGAAGGCAGTTCTCGGAGCTGTCAGTCCACCGTTCCCAGTCTGATCGCCCCCCCCTTCCTTATTTAGGAAGGCAGATGAAGAGCAGCGAAAGATAAGTCCCTACACAAGGTTAAAGTTGTGAGGAGTCATGATTACTCGCAGTCACTATTCCATGATACTTTCCCTTTCCCCACAAAGGAATCCAGGGAGTAGCCGACAGAGATCAGCCCACAAGCATTCCTATCAGCAAGAGCCTGAGCAAGGAAGAGCTTGAGACTACTTTTTCCTGAAAATGCAGTGATATTAACAATCTGATGGAGGTCAAGAAGCCAGGGTCTCACTGCTGTGGGAGTCAGCAAATCACCCGGGAGGAAAGGTCAATAAAAACTCTCCTATCGCTCATTCCCAACGTCCTTCCTCTTACTGAGCATTTGACCTCGCTAAGTCCTTCTTAGAGTCATTAAGACAGGTTTACAGAACACCCACTGTAAGGGAATAGGGATGGCTCAGATATACAGTTCGTCTCAATGAGCTTATGATGAAAGATTCAAAACCCTGAGGAGTTACTAGAATAAGAAAAATCGATGCTTTGGATTAAATGGCAAAATAAACACAGAGACATCCATTTGAACCATTGAACAACAGGAGTTTGCACTCTAAGCAGCAGCTATCAGTCATGGACTTTAATAGAAAACATGTGGCTGTGTGTGTGGTTTTTTTTTTTTTTAAAGATTTATTTATTTATTCATACAGAACGGGGGCCAGAGATGCAGAGGGTGAAAGGATTCACCAGGGACAGAGTGGGGAGCAGAGCAGGTAGATCAACGAAGTACACTGCTGAGGGTAGCAGCAGGTGGGCCAGGAGAGGTCTGCCACACCATGTGGATCTCCTCAGGGGAGGCGGGGATCGAACTCATGCCAAAGTGGCTTTAGCTTCTTAGTGCTGTGCTTTAACCTGCTGCGCCACCAGGGAGGGCCCGGCTGTGTGTGTGTTTTTTTAAGGGGGGGGATGAAACATGTAAATTTCCTAGGTGGAACAGCTTTCTGGATGAAATATTTATGCTTGGATGACAATACACTCAATAATAATGATGGCACCATGAATTCATTCTGCACACATTACAGACAAGACAATGAAGTTCTAGCAGCCAGGGTCTGTCCACAATGAAGACCAGGATGACTCACTGATCCAATCAGCACAGGTTCCCTCTGCAATAATGCAGCCATCAACACAGTGGCCCAACCATCACGGCAAGAAGCAGCCAGAGATCCTGGTGACCCCAGGAGAGCTGGGGACCGAGATAACAGTAACACATGGATTCACTGATTACCCCAAAATCCTCTAAACTGTTACCCATTACATGTATTACCTACTAAAACATGTGATTATCATTTAACAATATATAAGAAGGCTAAGAAATTCTATACTACAAGTGAAATGTAAGAAATGTTTTAAAACATTTACAGCCTGTATGCTATGGGATGTACCCTTTTTTGCGAAGGGAAAAATTAAACCTTTCACATCTTCCTTTTCTAAGATGGGATGAACAGTGAGAACTACAGCACAGAGAAGGCTGTCTTGAGAAGCAGGAAAGACAGGCCCTGCCATCCCAGGAGGCTGTCGGGCCCCCTGCTTAGAAACCCTTTATTTCCATGGGGTAAGGGGTTCTCAAGTGCCCCCACTGATTAAAGTTAAGTATGAAGATCATTAAGGTTTTCAATTGTTCTCTGACAGGTGCAGCATCCAATCTTCATCTCTAATTGGAAATACCCTCCCCTGCAAGAACCTTTGCAGGTTTCAATTACTGTCCCCATCTCTGGCTCTCAACACCACTTCTTCCAGGCCTACAGCTGGCACCACCAAGTAAGAGAGAGCTCTCTGGCCCGAATTCCTGAGATCTTCTCCCAGTCTCTCCTCTGCTATGGGAAACCATAGCAGGCGAGTGCTCTGCCCCAACACTCTCTGCTTCACAATCCTGACACTACGTTCATCTACTGGCTTATCTCTCAACTTAATTTCCTGAGCACATATCCACTATACATTAGGGTTTCTGTTTCCTAATTGCAAGATAGGAATAACATGAAGGTCAAAGGCAATGGCATATTTGAGAAGACCCAAGCCTGTGTTGAGGACACAGCTTAATGATAGGCCTTCCTTTGTGTAAGGCCGTAGGACCAAAACAATGAGCAGTCATGCTAAAGGAAGTCACACGTTCTCGTGTCTCCAAGACCTTGCTGATCAGCCTGTCTCTTGATGGTGGTTTCTTGGGGACGGAACTCTGGCCCTAATCAGCCTGTATTGCCCACAACAATTGTGATTGTGCCTTGCACACGTCAGGGGCTCGATAAACATTTGTTGTTGAGTTTCTAAACTCCTCTCTACTGGAAGCAACCTCCTGGCCTCAGACCATCGACACATCCTGCAGGGTAACTGTGCACACGCAGCAACCTGCATGTGGCCAAGTGGCAAGATGATCCCTGACCAGAAAGAACCCAGAGGCCCAAGCTAGGAGGAATCTGTACCAATTAGGTAGTTATCTTAGGTCTATAAAACAAACCCACTCAAACTGATAGCCCCAGCACTATTAATCTCCTTGTTGTATGAAAGAACACATTAAACAATGAACCCAGTCCTAGCAAGCAGGAAAGCTAACACCAAGAAATATTCTAAATCAGAAATACCACAAGCATTTTTCAAGTCCTTTGCATTTTAGAAATTTTTTTAAAACCAATCAGTGAGGCCTTTCTGGAGGTGCAGCAGGTTGGCAACAGCCGCTTCAGTGAGTTCAATCCCCAGCCCTGGAGGTGACCCACATGGCACAGCAGACCACTCCTGACACTCCCGCTGCTCCCTTCAGCAGTGTACTTCTGTCTGTTCTGCTCCCCGCTCTGTCTCTGGTGAATTCTCTCACAGCCCCTGCACCTCTGGCCTGTACCCCAGTTCTGTATGCATAAATAAATAAATCTTAAAAAAAAAATCAGTGAACAGAGTGAACATCTGCTGTATGCCAAGCATTGAGATTATAAAGGCAAATATAAATAAGACAGAGTCCTTTGCCCTAAGAGTTAAGAGAGCTGGTAAATAGAAAACTACAACACCGTGTTTTAAGGATTATGATAGAGGGAGCCAAGGTGTTAACAGAGAATGTGGCATCTAACCCAGATGGAGGAGAGAGAGGACCTTAGAAGGCTTTCCCCAAAGGAGATGTATTTGAGCTTAGCTTTAAGGAATAAGTAGGAGTCAGCCAGGTGGTGCATGCCAGGAATGTTGTCTCAGGAAAAGGGAGGAGTGTGTACAGATGTAGTGCCACGTGCTTGGGAGCTGTAGGACCCTCAGGATGGAGGCCCAATGGTCGATGAGGCCGGAGGGCAGACAGCCAGACTGTGAGAAGCCCTCGATGCCACATGAAGGCGTTCACCCCCTATCCTTGTGGCTCTAGGAGCTGAGTCAAGTTTAAAGCAGAGAAGCAGCCTATTGGGAAGACCTGTGTTAAGGTCATAGGGAGATCTGAATTGCCAGAGTCACAAGATATACCATATGCTTATCTGACCCTAATTCTTTATTCCTTCTGCGTGAAGATTCTTTCTGCAGAGAGCCTGAAGGCAGGGCTACCAGTTGGGACATGGCTGCAGAATCTAGGAGAGAATGAGTCCTTAACTATAAGCATGGAGTGAAGACTAAGGAATTCCAGTTGAGGGAGATGGTGGGATAATGTGCAGGTCAGATCATACTTTTCTACTTAACTCTGCTTTCGACTCTCAAAAGTACTTGTTCCCATCAAAACTCTTAAACGTTTGAATAATATGCTATGGGAAAAGTGACAGTTCTTGTTTAACTCTGACTTCTAAGAATTTAGCTTCCATTGATACTGTCTTAGAGAAGTGGATGTGAGCTCCTGAGTCAGGATAGCATCTGAGCCCACGACTAGATTTACTCAAACACTCTGGACAAGGCAGTGCTTCCATCAATGGCAAGACAGCACACATACATAGCTCTTCTAGGTGGCAGAAATCCCAGTTTATTAACTACTGGTGAGGAGTTAATAGATGCAAATGCAACTATCATCATCTAACCATTGCATCACCACCTCCCACACCCCACCCGAGACACGCACAGGGCACTAGTAACAAGCTTTGCTCTTTAGGATTTATATTCAACTCCAAGTTTTGTCATTTTCAGAAAAATGCCTAAATGAGGGATACGAAACCTACCTCAGAGAGCTACTCTAAGATCACATAATATGATAAAAGGCTCAAGCACGGCAGCACAGTGTCCACTGCCCACTAACGGGGTGACAAATGAGGGTTATCACCAGCTAGTGTATTCAATGTCTTCCTACATACAGCCCCTTCTATTCTCCTGTCCCTGTGTGGTAGGAGAAGAGAGGGAACTAGAAAAAGGTAACTAAAAGAGGTAAAAATAAGAATGGCAAAGAATAAGCACATGGAAGCCAGACCTGAAGACCATATGTCACCACATGTGGACAGAAGTTTTCTGCAGAACAGACAGGAGCCACTCTTAAAGTCCTATAAGTTCTGGGGCTATGGGGGAGAGGGGATGACTCAGCACAATTTTTAAAAAGATGCTTCCATGTCTTTTGCTGGCATTCACCAGCTGCAGGGATGCCAGTCTCCCTGAGCACACAGAGCACGAGCTGCTGGGCACTGCCTGGCTGGAGCTCACCAAGAACCAAGCTGGCCAGAAGAAAGAAGCCTGGTTGGGAGCCAGGATTCCAGGCTCACTGTGGCAAAAGGCTGAATCAGCAAATTCTGGGGGCCAGTAAGGGCAGATTAAGGCAACATTCCCCTT